ATCCTGTAACACACCTGGGATCACCTGGGGACACACCTGAGATACCTGGGGACATCTGGGGACACACCTGGGGACACCTGGGGACACCTGGGGACACCTGGGGACACCTGAGACACCTGGGCTCACCTGGGGACACACCTGGGGACACACCTGAGATACCTGGGGGACACCTGGGGACACCTGGGACACACCTGAGATACCTGGGACACACCTGGGACACACCTGGGGACACACCTGGGGACACACCTGGGGACACACCTGGGCTCACCTGGGGACACCTGGGACACACCTGGGACACACCTGGGGACACACCTGAGCACCTGCCCCGGCCAGGGCCTCACACACGGCCAGGCCGATCCTGTAACACACCTGGGATCACCTGGGGACACCTGGGGACACCTGGGCTCACCTGGGGACACCTGGGGACACACCTGAGATACCTGGGGATACACCTGGGGACAGCTGGGGACACACCTGGGGACACACCTGGGACACACCTGGGGACACCTGAGATACCTGGGGACACACCTGGGACACACCTGGGGACACACCTGGGCTCACCTGGGGACACACCTGGGGACACCTGGGGACACCTGGGGACACCTGGGGAGGATCTGGGGAGGTTTTGGGGGGGAAGTTTTGGATTTTTCGGGGTTAAATTGGGAAAATTTGGGATTAATTGGAATTAATTTGGGTTAATTAATTTGGGTTTAATTTGGGTTTAATTGGAATTAATTTGGGTTAATTAATTTCGGTTTTAATTTGGGGTTAATTTGAATTAATTTGGGTTAATTGGGATTAATTTGAATTAATTTGGGTTTAATTTGAATTAATTTGGGTTAATTAATTTGGGGTTTAATTTGGGATTAATTTGAATTAATTTGGGTTAAATAATTTGGGTTTAATTTGGGTTTAATTGGAATTAATTTGGGTTAATTAATTTTAGTTTCATTGGAATTAATTTGGGTTAATTAATTTGGGTTTAATTTGGGATTAATTCGGTTTTAATTTGAATTAATTTGGGTTAAATAATTTGGGTTTAATTTGGGTTTAATTTGGGGGTTAATTTGAATTAATTTGGGTTAATTAATTTCGGGTTAATTTGGGTTAATTTAATTTGGATTAATTTAATTGGGGTTGATTCGGGTTTAATTAATTTGGGATGATTTTATTTGGATTAATTTGGAACTAATTTGAATTAATTTGGAATTAATTTGAATTAATTTGGAATTAATTTGAGTTTATTTGGAATTAATTGGAGTTTATTTGGGTTTAATTAATTTGGGATAATTTAATTTGGATTAATTTAATTCGGGATTAATTGGAATTAATTTGATTTTATTTGGGTTTAATTAATTTGGGATGATTTAATTTGGATTAATTTGGGATTAATTGGAATTAATTTGGAATTAACTTGAATTAATTTGGAATTAATTGGAGTTAATTTGGATTTAATTAATTTGGGATGATTTAATTTGGATTCATTTAATTCGGGATTAATTGGAATTAATTTGATTTTATTTGGGTTTAATTAATTTGGGATAATTTAATTTGGATTCATTTAATTCGGGATTAATTGGAATTAATTGGAATTAATTTGGAATTAATTGGAGTTAATTTGGGTTTAATTAATTTGGGATAATTTAATTTGGATGAATTTAATTTGGGATAATTTAATTCGGGTTAATTCCGATTAATTCGGGTTAATTTGGGTTAATTTGTGTTAATTTGGGGGAATTTTTATGGAAAAAAATCCAATTTTTTTTTAATTAATCCCTTGTGGATTTTGGGGGTTCAGAATCAGGGAATAATCTGAATTAATTACAATTAATTACAATTAATTTTGAGCCAATTTTGAGTTATTTTGAGCTAATTTTGTGCTAATTTTTGGTGAAATTTTAGGAAAAAAATCCGAATTTTTTTTATTAATCCCGTGCGAATTTTGGGGGGTTCAGAATCAGGGAATAATCTGAATTAATTCGAATTAAATCGATTTATTTTGGGTTAATTTTGGGCTTTTTTTGGGGTTATTTTGAGTTATTTTGGGTTATTTCGGGGCGGATTTTTATGTAAAAAAATCCAAATTTTTTTTTAATGAATCCCGTGTGGATTTTGGGGTGAATTCGGGGGGTTTTAGGATTTAGAATCAGGGAATAATCTGAATTAATTCCCATTAAATCGATTTATTTTGGGTTAATTTTGGGCTTTTTTGGGGGTTATTTTGGGTTATTTTGGGTTATTTCGGGGCGGATTTTTATAGAAAAAATCCAATTTTTTTTTTAATTAATTCCTTGTGGATTTGGGGGTTCAAACTCAGGGAATAATCTGAATTAATTCGAATTAATTACAATTAATTCCGTTTATTTTGGGCTAATTTTGGGCTTTTTTGGGGGTTATTTGGGGTTATTTTGGGTTAATTTCAGGGGGATTTTTAGGGAAAAAAATCCAAATTTTTTAAAATTAACCCCGTGTGGATTTTGGGGTGAATTGGGGGGATTTTAGGATTTAGAATCAGGGAATAATCTGAATTAATTCGAATTAATTCGATTTATTTTGGGCTAATTTTGGGCTTTTTTTGGGGTTATTTGGGGTTATTTTGAATTAATTTCAGGGGGAAATTTTAGGAAAAAAATTCAATTTTTTTTTTATTAATCCTTTGTGGATTTGGGGGGGTTCAGACTCAGGGAATAATCTGAATTAATTCCGATTAATTCGATTTATTTTGGGCTAATTTTGGGCTTTTTTTGGGGTTATTTTGGGTTATTTTGAGTTAATTTCGGGGGAATTTTTAGGGAAAAAATTCAAATTTTTTTTTTAATGAATCCCGTGTGGATTTTGGGGTGAATTCGGGGGTTTTGGGGTCACTCACCCGTCCGTGCCCGCTGTCACCAGCGCCACTTTCCCTTCCAGGCACCGCGGGGACCCCCCCGAGCTCGGCCGGGA